AACTTGTTTTTCGGATAACCAATTATGTACGGAAAAATATATTAATTTATCCCGTGTTGAAATTTTTCTCCGTTGCGTGTCGCTTCGCGTTGAATTTTCGTCGATGTTAAGCCTAACGAAGACTATTGTATCGTTAAAAATTATTTTTTTATTTTGTACGAACAAAATAAATATATTGAAAAATATAAAAACAATAAAAATTATACTTTAGAAGTTAATTTAGTATCGAAAACGTAAAATATTTGAGTAGCCCAAGACATAGCCAAAGATTAGAGCGCCACAGCACTGGCGAAAATTTAAATTTATCGACTGGAATTCCTTCGGATAAACGACGCTCTACTGTATTTGTCTTCGTAATAGCTTATCGTAATTCTGTAACAGTAGGTTTGTTCTTTCGCGGCATCGGCGTAATACGTTTGTAAATTTTCCAAAAATAATTTCCCCAGCCGCTTTGGGATTTACGTAAGCCATTGCTTCCCCGGACAAAGGTATGCGGTGAGAAATATCGTACGGGAGGAGAAGCCACGCTAATTAAAGTCGAAAGTAATTATTTAGCGTTATTAAACATCCTATAAATACTTTAAAATAGTTTCATTTGTTTATTTACCTTCGCCGGTAACATTCCCGCTCGTTAAACGTTTCGGCCATTTTTCGACAATATCCCGCGACGTGTTTTACTCGGAGTTCAAACGTCAAACGCGTACTTCCGCTTGCCGCACGAGTTTAACGTTCGAACTCTCTAGTTATAGTCTAGTTCTTTCCTAGGATAACCTTCCTAGTACCCGGTTTATAGATGTACGGTACACACTTGTCAGATTGGATGTGTTAAGTGTTTGTTATCAGATCCCACCGCTCTGCTTTAATCCGTATACGGCTTGATTCGATTTGCGTACTTGCTTTTGGGTTGTTCCATATACGGGTATACCTCGACTTACGTCTTCCCGATTATACGTCGTTTGTCAAAAAAGTATATGGAAAAATAAAAATCGAGTTTAAGTCATTTTATTCGACTTTACGTCCGTCCGCCACAAATATTGAAGTCGTAGTATCGCTAGAAAAGTGTTTAAAGCATATAAATCGTATTAAAATATATACATTTACAAGTATGTACTGTATTTACAGTACACGCATTCGTAAATTTAGATTACTTTTTCTGTACTATATTAAAAACTAAAATTTATTTGTTTGTAAGCTTAAAAAAGATCCTTATTAACCATATACAGTAGATCCCCCTATAAGACGGTAGATACGTTCCGTTCTTTATGAATCAATTTTGTAGGAATCATAGTTTACGGACTACGGCTGTTTGAAAGGTTTTCTTTCATAAAATTAATCGATTCTAGACTAATTCGATTCAACATTTCCAAAATACGTATATTTTTTTAAAAATAATCCGTATAAACTACGCTATAAACAAAAAATTGTAGGATTACTTACCGAGTGTGTACCCTTTGACTACGCTCGTTGCTAAAGCTTGGTTTCGTCGCGGAACAGCGCATCAAATTGCTGCCGCGATTTCTGATATTATTTTTCTGCGAAAACTTCGTTGACCTTTGGAGACATCATTAATATAAATAATTTTTATGGCCGTTAAATAAGAAATGTTTCTTTCACAAGAAATGTATAAAATTACAGTACTAAACAGACGATAGGTCGCCTACCTCGCCGTAGCGTGACGNTGTCAGCTTATAATAATTAAAAAATATAAAAAGTTTTTAAAATAAGGTATCGCTAGATGGCGCCACCGACATTTTAACGCGACCGAGAAAGTTAAGCTACCGGTTATATCGAGCGGAAGACCGCGGCACTTAATTAGCCGAGCTTACCACCCGACCTAACTTTAATTCATTTCTTTACCGGTTTCGTTAAGTTCGACGGATTAATTGGAATCGGGTGTGGGAGTATCGGCCCGTCTTCCGTCAAAACGGATAATCGTCGGACTCCGATCGATAAGTCCGTTAGAAGTCAACGCCCGCGGCCACTTCAGACGGAGGAGCGTCTCATTTCCATCGAACGGGGCGGAATTTACCATTATCTTCAATTCGTACGTCATCTTTAGTCCGCGCTCGGGGCTTTTCCACCTGACAAAATAACCCGGGTTTAGATTTTTCCGTGGCCAGATCGCGCCCTTCGCCTTATTACGTTTATTTTTATTACGTATTTCCGGAATCCGATGGTTCCCGGGCGTCTGCCCGGTCCGAAAACAAAAAACCGGGTATAAAAAACTGGAAACTCCGGGGAAGAGGAGAAGGAGTCGGACCCCCTCTCCGGGTGGGGGGAAGAAGAGGAATTACTTCCGATGCGGTCCGGCCAAACTTTTCCTCTTCGGACGACGTTCTTGCGGGGTTTCCCCGGCCCCGGGCGGCGGGCGACCGAGTCTTCCCGGAATCCGCCGGCCCGAGAAGGTGGGGACGGAGGGAGAGAGGCGATAAATAACGCCGAAGCGACGATGGACGCCCGATGGCAGTCGTGGCCGAGTGGTTAAGGCGTTGGACTCGAAATCCAATGGGGTATCCCCGCACAGGTTCGAATCCTGTCGGCTGCGGTATTTTTTTTTCTCTTTCTTTTTTTTCGGTCTCCTTCCCCGCCGCCCGCCCGTGGGAAATATTTCGCCTCGACCCCTTCCGCCCTTTTTTCTTTCCTCTTAAAAGGCGGCGTGGCCCGATCGGCCCGTAGATGGCGCCACCGACGGCGGAGAATCCGCGGGTGGCCCGAGGGAGGAAATCGCGCCGGACGGGGAACGAAGATTTTATCGATTCTTCGACCGGAAGACGAACGAGGCGGGGTTAAAGTCGAGCGGAAGCGACGCCATCGTTTCCTCCGGGGTGGCACCGGCGGAGAAAAGCGTGGATGGCGCGCGAGGCGTTTTAATTTTGTAAATATAAAAAACCATTCAGAACTATTTAAAATTTTACACATTTTTCTGCTCGGAAATAAATATAGAAAAAGGCCTTTTAAAAATTACGTAGAAGGCCGTTAGATATATATTTATAGCTAAGATCGACGGGGATGGCGGGTCAGAAAGGTTGGGAATTCCCGTGTTTGGTATATCGTGTACGGTGTACGTAATTATTCTATAAAAAATTGGTTTAGCCTAGTAAGAAATTGCGTTACTTAAAACGGGCAAGAAATAAGAAGGGGCGCCAAAACAAAAAAATATTTATCGAAAGTTTGATCGGATGCGATTCCCCCGGTCGAAAGAAAAAAATGATAACGAACAACCTTGGTCGTAAGTCGACTCGTACCCAATCGTAAATGGCCGGGGCGGAATTTACTTAAATGGCCCGGAAAGTAAGCTGTTCCGGGAAATTGCAATTTCTTAGGAATTTTCAATATTTATCCGCGTATGTCTGGCTTCTGTCGGTCGACTTCTCTTTTCGCCAGCTTTTTCCAGTTGTTCGCAAATATAATAGATCTTTCGTTAGTTGCCCGCGGCCTTTTCCCGTCTCTTCGCTTGGTCCGTTTACGAAGCGTCGGCAAATTTCCATCGATCGCGGGTGGAATGCGAATGGCACAGACGGGGTACTCGGCCGTTGGGAATCGCTGTACTTCGTGCCCGAATCTCTCTCCCCTCGTCTTAAAATATGCCGTTTTTCTCGGACGGGCTCTCCCCCCGAATTACGTCCGGCCACGAAACGAGTAGGCCCGGCGACGTTAGCAAAATATTCTTTACCCATTGAAAAATTTGCTGGCCCGGGCTACCGTATCCGGCTTTCCCCTGGCCAGGCGGAGCCCCGCCACCCCCGCAAAAAGCCGTGGTGGTGGCAAACATTTTGCGGGGTGGCCCGACCGGCGGAATACGCGGACGGCGGTGTTAACCGATATTTTGTATGCCGAAGGTCACCCGTTTGATTACGCGCGTTTAAGATTTACCGCTTCTTCTAGGCAAAAAATTCTTTTACCGGCGGACGAGGAGCTTAAAATTCGACGGAATCCAGCTTAATTCTTCTATTAACTTTCGGTGGGAAATTTTTCCCGACTTTAAAATGCGGTAGAAAATTAACCGATTAGTTAAGGTGGAAATGGCCGGATCCCCGTCTACTTGGCCCCGGACGTAATAACGGGGTTCGATCGTCGACCGATCCGTTAAAATAGGTTGGCGTTATCCCGGGCATAGAACCGGGAGTGGAAAAGTTGACCTAAACGCCAGGCCGGACAAGGAGGTCGCCACGGGCCACCGGTAATTTTTTTCCCACCGTCCGTCGCCACCCGCGCGCAAAAAGCTCCGTATTTTGTACCGCCGGCGGGCCATTATACTTTCGAGGTGCAACGGCACTGCGGATAAAAATAAGTAGCCGTTTAATTAAGGGACGATCCGTCCTTAGCCCCGACGGCCGGATGACTCGACCCGATTTACCTTTCCTTTTATACTTAACTCCGGCCAAACTGAGCGTAGCCCTATTAACTCGCGCTTAAATCCGTTAATTCTCTTCGAAATTAGCGCGTCTTCTCCCGCCAATTTCTACGAAACGCGACTCGTTACGGGAGGATCCCGGCTTTTCTGCCCCGGTGGGGTGGGTCTCGGGGGCCGTCGACGGGTCGATCCCCTTAGGCCGCCTAGTAGAGCGCGAAGAAGGGGGAGCCGGTCCGAGACGTCCCCGGCCGACGGAGAAACGGGGTCGGCGCTTCTTCACGCTCTCCTAGTTTCGCCTCCCTTATAAGAAAGGCCCGCCGCTCCGTGGCCCGTCTTCCCGCCTCGACCGACATGCACGTTCTCGTCCGGGTAAGGCTTTCTTCTTTCTTTTTTCTCTGCCGCCTCTTAAATCGCTCCTTTCGCCCTTTTCAGGCCCTCGTCTTCTTCTGTCTGGCGGCCGCCGTTCTGACCCGACCGGAAGCGGTCGACCGTCGACCTTCGGAGGTTCTTCCGTTTTTTCCTCCGCCCGGAGAGGCGGCCATCCGCGTCAAGAGGAGCGGAGGCGGAGTGCTGGGGCCCGTCTACACTTACGTCAAGACCGACCACCACGGCCACTTCAAGTGGGGGGTCAAGCACGTGGTGGGAAAGAAGTACGCCGGACACCGGGGCGGCCACGGGCGCCGCTGATCGGCGGCCTTGGAAATTCGTTTATCAATAAAACCTACGAAAATAGTCTCCGTCTCTTAATGACGCGCGCCTGGCCGCGAAACCGGTAACGCGCCGTCGACCTCGGTTTCTCTACGGAAAATGGGTGGCGCACCCGAGTCGCGCCGCCCGGCCGCGGCCGACGTTACGTAAGTCGGCGAGAGAAGAGAAAGGGAAGAGTCGGAAGCGGAGTTTCTAAGTTCTTTATTGGACGGAAAAGGAGGCGAGGAAAGAGAAAAAACCAAATTCACACGTAGGATCTTCGTCTGTGGTCAATAAATAGACAATACTATTTACAGAGGAAAGGAGAGGGAGAAAGAGGGAGACGGACCGGAGGGGCGCGGAGATCAGTAGTAGGCTTTGGCCGGTCCGTATCCAGCGTGTATGGAATTGTGCACTGCGGGAGCCTGGTAGTAGGAGGCGTAACTGGGGCCCAAGTGTCCGGCCTGGGCGGAGTGGGCGGAGTGGGTGACGGCTCCGTAGTTTCCGTAGGGATCGTGCGACGCCTGCCGAGAGTACAGGGTCTGGTCGGATCCGGCCAGTCCCAGGTGAGCGTTGTATCCGCCGTCGTTCCTGTAGCCCTGCTGCAGGGTCTGGCCGAATCCGTGGGCGTCGTAGGCACCTTGGGCGGAATGTCCGACGGCGCTGACGGCGCCGTAGCCCGGACCCTGGAAGCCGTTGGCGTTTTGGACCGAGGCGTGTCCGAAGGTGCCGTATCCGGCCAGGGAGGCGTGGGAGTTGTCGGCGGCGTGGGTCCCGAAGGCCACCCCTCCGGGCAGGGCCTGGGCCTGGGCCGCCCGGACGGAGTGGGCGGCCGAGTTACCGAAGGGAGAGATGGCCGCCCTGGAAGCGGTATCGGCCACCGCCGAGTGGCCGGGGGCTATCTGGGCGTTGTGCGTGTTCTGGGCGAAAGAGGCCTGTCCCAAGAGAGGATTGAGCTGTCCGGCGGCGGCGTTGGTGTGGACGGCGGCCCGTCCCAGGTAGGGATTGATGTGGAAGGAGTGTTCCTTGTGTTTCAGCGCCGTCGCCCCGGAGAAGGGGTCGGTGTGGGCGGCCCGAGCCTGGTGGGTGATGGTGTGTCCTCCCAGGCCGTCCTTGGCCACCGCCGTCTGCTGCTGGACGTTGGAGGTGGGGGAGGCCCCGTTGGTCACGCTGTAGGAGAATCCGTTCTTCTGCTGGTCGAAGTTGACTTTGACCGATCCGTCGGGACCCACTCTCTGGCTGTAGGAAGGGGCCAGGACGCCCAATCCGATGGAGAAGCTGTCGTCTCCGGCCCTGGCGGCGGCCAGGAAGCTCAACAGTATCTAAAAAAGACGAGAATCCTTGGAGCCAACGGCGTAAACAAAGAAAAAGCCAGGTCGAAGGACGGTACTTACCAGGAATCGCATGGTCGAGAGAGCGGAGACGGAGGTTCGGAAACGATATTTCCAAAATGTGGCGGAGGGGGTCTAAACGCTCTTATATACGACGACCACCCGTCCGGGTGGGGCGGCCACTCGACCTTGCGGTCTAATCCCGTACGGTCCCGCAGATCTTGACCCAGTTCTGGCTTTGGAAAAGCGAGTTATCTACCTTCCCCCGCCGGACATTACCCACTCCGGTTCCGTATGGTTATTCTCGAGGTCGAACCTCCATATTCGACGCCGACCTCCCCGTCCGCGGACGGGCAAACTTCCGTTTCTTCCTCTCGGACGTCGGATGCCCTCCAAATACGGAAATTGGTTTTGTGTTCGGAGAAGTTTGCGGCTTCGACCGGGGGCAAGAAAACGGCGCGCGGAAATTGCGTGGTCACGCCGACGGCCGCGACGCTTCTCACGCTCGAAATAATTCGTCGGGCGGCATCGAACCCGGTCGAGGTCGACTCGTTTTAACGCCGTTTCCGGTAGTTACGTTCGAACGCCGTTTCGGAGAAAAATAGAGGGAAGGCCTTTTCTCCGTCGGGTTATAAATACACGAGTGGCGGGCCGAGAGGGGCCCGAAGGGAAGATCCGCCGGGCCAAAGCCACGGAGAGTTTTTAATGAAAAGACAAGGAATGCCAAAGGGAATTTAAGGAAGACGTCGGGAAGCGTCCAACGTCCTTTACTTTTTAGGGAAAAAACTGGGAGTGGACCGGAGCGCCAAACGTGTTTGTTTAGAAAGGAAAGGAAAGTCGCCTTCGTCCTCGAAAATCCCGACGGCCTCCGGACGAACAATACCGTGGCGAGAATCGAGTATTATTTCCGGTATTGTTTTAAAGGCGTCCCCCGACGGCGGTTGGGCGTCCGCTTATCCCGCGTTAATTACTTTCCCGGCGTCGGACCCATATTTTCCACTTTCCCCTTTAATAAAAATTCGAGCGGAGTCTTCCACCCCGACGTTAAGATTGGGCCAGGCGGAGGGAAAGGATATCCGGACGGACCCCGGGATATTCGGCCACCCCCCGGCTGGGGGGCCGTCCGTAAGTCGCCTCCGCATCTTTCCGGAAATTTTTACTCTCCCGGTCCCGGTACGGAGGCGGGAGAAAACTCAAACCCTTTTATAACCTTTACGTCTTTACCGACGACGGATACCGCGAATACAGCGGAAGAGACGAAAAGTTCCGAATACGTATAATAAAATGCGTAAACTGTATAAAATGTAACGAAATAAAACGGAGGCCCGGGTCATCCCGCGCGCTTCCGTTACGGGGGAAAGGGCGGAGAAAACGAGTGACGACGGGACTAAAATCGGGCGGATAATTCCGGGACCGAAGCGCCTCCGCCGCCGCCATTGGCCGAAACGCTCCTCCGTTCAGCGCCGGAGCCGGAAGGAGGGAGAGAGTGGCCGAATAAAGAGGCGCGGATTTTTTCGGGAGAAATCTTGGTTCTTCCTTCTTTTAAGACAAAACTGGTTTAAGTAACTTACCGACTTTGCGCCGGAAGACCCGGCGGGTGACGACGGCGGATAGGGGATGCCATTTATATTTGTAGGGAAACCCCGTTTAAGAGCCGAGCGCTTTATTTTCCACGGCCCAAAGCCACCGATTTATTTCGAGACCGCCAATCGACCCGGGCAAGTTTTTAATTTTACTTTCCGCCCCGCGGTCCGGACGATTTATTAGGGATTCCGGTCTCTTCTTTCGCCGACGAAATTCGTCTCTGGTACGCGGCGGCGATTCCGGTCGTCGGTAGCCATCGCCTCTCCGTCACCATTCTATGGGGTTGGGGTTATTCGCGCGCGTAGCGCGTCATAGAGTTTTAACCACGGATCGGGTGCGGCGGATTGACGTAGGCAAAAAGTTCGGTGGGTTTAATGGTTTGGCCAATGCCTCCGAGTCGAAACGTTCCTCCTTCTATCCGTCGGTTTACGTAGGATACCGATGTAATTAGATGGTCGGAGTTGTGGTGGTGTAGCCGGAGTTTGCTGCGGAGTTTGCTCGGTTATCGCTTAGCGGTCGGATCGTTTCCGGTTCCCCGAATAGCTCTTCCGGGAAGAATTTTATCAAAATCCCTTTTTTGGCGCGGCTTCCTAGGGCCTATAATTCGGCGTGGCCAGTCGACGCTTCCAGGTCCGACTTAATACGTTCTTATCTATCGAGTATACGCATCCCGTTACGCGCTCTTCCGGGGGAGTTCTCCGGCTGGCCCCCGATATCTAGTCCGTCTGGTACGTAGCGCAGTCCCGTCCGTCGTCTTCCCTTCGGATATCTAAGTGCGCCTTTTAACGCGGTGGGGCGAATAATTCTCCAGTCTTTGATATATTTGGAGAGTAGGGTTAGCGCGCGCGCTATATCGGGTGTGGCGCCCGTTGCCGGGAACGTCGACCAGCCTAGCGTTTGTTGGTATAACTTCTCGTCGCGCGGTTTCGAGTGGATTTCTCTAGTTTAACGTCGGGGTGGAGCGGAGTTCTTCTCGGCATCGCGTGCTTCTCTAATACGCGCTTAACGTATTTTTGTTGTTCGATTACTACGTTTCCTTTTCCTTTTATTAATTCCGCGCCTAAAATACTCTCGGTGTTTGCACTTTCTTCGACCTCGAATTTTCTTGGCAGTTTTTCTAGTAGTTCCTCTAAGACCTTCCCGTCGGTAGCCGGCGTCTGGCCAGTCTAAAAGTTTGACGAGTAGAAATTCGGCTTAAACTTCTTCATTTTTTTCAGTTTGGGGTTAAAATTATGACGTATTTTATTAAAATAATGATTATTTAAGCATTTGAGAATAATATTGTAAAGAAACGGGCGATTTTGATTTAGAAATTATCTAATTATTCAATTTTTTGCCAGTGATGTCGAGTACCTATAGAATTTACATATACAGTAGAGCGTCGTTTATCCGAATCAATTGGGGACTGGGGTGGTTCGGATAACTTGTTTTTCGGATAACCAATTATGTACGGAAAAATATATTAATTTATCCCGTGTTGAAATTTTTCTCCGTTGCGTGTCGCTTCGCGTTGAATTTTCGTCGATGTTAAGCCTAACGAAGACTATTGTATCGTTAAAAATTATTTTTTTATTTTGTACGAACAAAATAAATATATTGAAAAATATAAAAACAATAAAAATTATACTTTAGAAGTTAATTTAGTATCGAAAACGTAAAATATTTGAGTAGCCCAAGACATAGCCAAAGATTGCAGCGCCACAGCACTGGCGAAAATTTAAATTTATCGACTGGAATTCCTTCGGATAAACGACGCTCTACTGTATTACACTTTATTAACTTTAATTCATTGTTAATTATCTCACCACAATTTTTATGATTTTTTAAAAAATATTTTGATGATATTGTTACTATTAATATTTAAAATTTAATTTTTAATAAAATATATATAGTTTTACATTGTTAAGAATCATTTTGGGTGAATACGACTTTTATCAATTACAAGATGTGGATAATCTTTTGGGTCCTCTTTACTTTATAACATACGTTTTCTTTGTGTTTTTTGTATTACTGGTAAGTACATATTAAACCGTACATTTTAATATAGTTTGTATAGTTTATTTTTTTATTATAAAATTTTACAATTTTAGAACATGTTTCTGGCAATTATCAATGATACTTATGCAAACGTAAAAGAAGAAATGAAATCTGAAAATACAGAATCTGGCATATTTTCATATTTAAAATTGGTAAATTAATTTTTAAATTCTTTTTATATTAAATGAAATATTTATAAATAAAATTAG